AGACACTGAGCTGGGTGTGAAAGGAGCTGGGAGGAGGAGACCTGGAGAGACGAGCGTGAGTGGGACAAAGGTGCAGGGAGAAGGTGTAACAGGGCTGGGACCAGAGATGAGTGCAGTTGGCAGCAACCCAACTACGAGCAGGGCCCCACGGGGTGGGAGTGGGCATGCACCCACACTGAGGTGGGGCTGCTCTGTCTCATCTGCGGAGTAATGTGAAAGACAGAATAAACAGTGGCTGTCTGTGTGGCCCTGCACTTCTCAGGACCTCAGTTTCCACCTTCTCCCCAGTTCACTAGGACTCACAGGAGGGTCACCCTTTGGGGAAAGGCTCCCCTGCAGCGACGCAGTCCTACAAATGGACTCACATCAGGAGCGGGGCATTGCATTTCTTTGCCACAGGACTGGTGTTCAGTGCTCTCCAGGAAACACTCCGAAGGCAGAAAAGGAGAGAACTCCTACCTGATTGTCTAAAGCTCCTGTTCACGACATCAAAGCTCAGGTGTCTAACGTGAGTGCTACAAGGCAATGCATCCCCAACACTTAAATCTGCCATACAGGCTGGGGAGATGGCTCAGTGGAATAAGCGCTTCCCTGGCAAGCGCAAGGGCCTGAGATCGATCCCCAGTTCCACCCAAAAAAACAAAAAAAATCTGTCATACAGATAATGATTGCTCTTTTGTGCTCTAATATTTTTTTTTGAAATTAAACTTTTTTTGTGCTCTAATATTTTTTTTTGAAATTAAACTTTTCTAAGGAATCTGACAAAAGAAAACATTTGCTGTTACCCAGTTCATCCATACAGTTCAATTACTGGGCATTCCACTCCACTTGAGGCTTGATCTGTGGCTTTCTGTGACACTCTTCTGTCCGTGATGTGAGAGGGAGGGCCCTGTGGTGGTGAGGCAGCAGGACTCACTGCTGTAGGCAGCTCTAACTCTAGCAGCTGTTGAAGTAACCACAGAAATGTCCCCGTACCCTGAGCTGTAAAATTCCGTGTTCTCTTGAGCCCCAAGGACTTCCTCTGTTTAGCCATACAGTTTATGCTAATCATACTTATTTTCTTTCTTTTTCTCCCTTGTTTCTTCTTTACATTTTAGTTTCTATGCGAAGGCCATGAAAATTAATTGAAATTAAAAAATGCTGGTGGGGAAAGCTATTCCTGTCCACCTCTCTCAGGCAATTGTGCTGCACACGAGGACAGACAGACTGCACAGGCCCACGTGATGCACAAACAGGGACAGGGCCACCCAGAGAGCACCAGGTGAATGGGTCAAAGCTCTCTGTCCTATAATTCCAGGAATCCAAGTGAGCTGCTGTCACACTGCTGGACGCACTGACAGTATTGTCACCTTGGAGTTCCTGGCCTAGACAGAGGCTTACATTTCTGTTCAAGTCAAGGCTATTCACAAATATCTGTGCTACCAAAGCAGCAACAGTGAGCCAGACCAGGCTAATGGTCATTAGAAATGTGGCCAGTCTGAGTGAGGCTGAGAGAGGGAAACACACTCTAGATTTCAAAGCTCTGGTATAAAAAGAATATATACCATCTCATCAATATTTTTAACTTTGTTAATTTTAAAGATTATTTAAAACTAGTATTACATATTAAAGTAATCATTTTTAAAGTAATAATTTCTAATACTGGGTTAAATAAAATGTTATTTCAATTTACACCACACCTTCATGTTTCCAATTCCATGCCCCGTGCTCACTGCGCCTCTAAAGGACAGTGCTGCTTCAGCTGTCGCTCAGCTCTGAGGGCGGCAGAGTCCGGGGCTCGGGCCGGAACGCTCAGCCCAGCCGGCTCTGGCTGCCTGTCCCATCTCCTCCTCACTCCCCAAGGCACCGCCACACTGCTCATCTTCTGTCAATCTGCATGTCATCATTTATAAACTGGGACAATGACAGTTCTCCCCTCTCAGAGGTGACCAAACTGAAACTGCTCAAATCTAGAGCTGACGTGAGTTCTCAGAACGAAGACTCAGTTGTACATCACATACAAGAGCACATCTTTAAAAAGTATAAAATTTTAATAACTAATAAAGTTAACTTGAAAGAGAAACAGGGTATAAATCGTAACAGGCAGGTGGTTACACTGCTGATCTATCTCCCCAGCTCCAGGGTACATATCATAAAATACCAAAACATTAACTCAACCACATTTAAAAATATTCTTTATTTTTCTAATTTTTGTCAGCACCGGGAATTAAACTCAGGCCCTTGTGCTTGCCAGGGAAGCACTTATTCTACTGAGCCATCTCCCCGGCCCTTATTTTTCTTGCTTTTGATCATGGCTACTGGCTCAGAAACTTAGTAAGTAGAAGCAAAACTCAGAGTTATCTAAATGTAGAGTGGCTCTTCTGTCTCCTGGGTCACTCTCTCTTTCACTTTGCAGTACAACCTCAGCATACTGTAAACCACCTTTATTGTTCCTGCAGAGAAAGCTATGCTGGTTTTCTCCCAAAAAACAATCATACAGCTGCTTGGCATGGAGATGCTTGCCTACAATCCCAGCACATAGAGAGACTAAACCAACATGTTTGCAAATTCCAGCCCAGACCACTTAACAATGTAGTCAGTGAAATAGTGTCACAGAGTTAAAAAAAAAAAAAAAGAAAAGAAAAGGGCTGGGGATGTTGTTCGGGGTAAAAGCCCTGGGCTCAGTCCCCAGAACCCCCTCCAACCAAATCACATGCAACCAGATAGTCAAAATGAAGTGACTCCTGGATCGGGCAGCATGGTAGCGGAAAGTGAACAGGACGAGGTGTGCAAGGTCAGGAGCTCAGCGCAGGTCAGCCCCAGCCTGAGCCAAGGTCACAGGAGCTCCCTGAAGGAGCCCTGGAGATGAGTTTTACACCTTATACACATGCCACTTCTGTGCAGACTGGAAGGTCACACAAATACTAATGATTCCTGTCACTTGCATCTCGGGTTCTCTGATTGACCCGCACTAGGATACTGTGTTCTGTAGTATGATGTGAATGAGCAGAGGGTATAAAGGGTGACTTTTACATGGCAGTTATTAGGACTGCTGTTTCCTCTCTTTCCCTATGCAGTGTGGAGAGTATCATCCAAACAAAGGTATTTGTGAAACTTGCGCAGATCGTGCAAGGTGACACTGGAGAGAATCTCAGCCAGGACGCCCAAGCAGAGCTGCTTTCTGCACAGCACTGGGGCTGTAACTATGGAACTGCATTCCTAATGAGAAATGTACTCTTGCAGTGAAGTCCTCCTTCCATATTCTTGGTGGGGGGTGGTACTCATCAGTATGATGTTTAAAGCCAGTGGTATGGAATCTGGGTACCCAAAAAGACATTGAAAAGGTTTTATCCAGCCTTTCCATTATTTTGCCACTAGTAGAACATCCAGATACAATGGTGACTTTAAAATATGAGTCCTTTGGCTTACACATAAAGCAGCACTCAGGGAAAGCATCAGAGCAGAACAAAGTGTCGCATCCACCGGATCCAGCCTTCCTTGGTAATGGAACTCGCTTCCTCTCATCTTTGACTTGTTACTGTTTCTAAGGGAGCATGCGAACAGCACTAAGCTGACTTTTTCTGACCCCGCTGAGTATTCTTTATCCCCTGTTGGTTTTCACCATTATCAAGTTTCTATCACTCTTGCCAATGTCAACTAACTTGAAAAAAGAAGCCTGTTTAGCTGTTTATACTTTATTTATTTACTGTACTGAGTAGTGTTTCTTCAGCTATATTTGAGCATATGGACAAAGCCAGTCTTAAACATAAAGCTCCAGACCTAAGATGGTACCTGTCAGCTCATAGGACATAAGATTATTCTGTGACTAACTTGCCTAAATGCTTCTGTTGAAATGAGGTTAAATAAAATGCGCACTACCATTCAAATTAGTAAGAAGGATCAATGCTCATGTGAGTATGTGCAAGAGCAGACAACAAGGAAAAGAAGAGGCAGCTTACTGAGCTATAGCCACAGTGAGGACACCCTGTGAAGTAGGAGATTAAAGACACAGGAAACTATCAAGGGAGGTGGCCACACGTGCCCTCCAAGTTTAGAAATGGAGAACAACAGTGAGTGTGTGGACTGTCAGCATTCTGACAAGACAGACAAATACATCATTACTGTCTGTTCCAAGTCATTTTCATCTTTTAAATGTCCATTTTCAATGTTTTAAATTGTTTGGTAAGTTTTGACCTTAAGTTCTATAGCCACCACCACTGTTCTGCCATTACCATGACAACCAGCAAGGAGCCTACAGGTCAGATTCATCAAAAGGCAGTAAACCTTTCCTTTAGTCTTGGTGGCAACACCAAGCACTGTCCACCTTCATCAGTGCAGTGAATGAAATGTGAGCCCGGGTTATACTCAAGAGCTCAGTCCAGGACTAGAGGCCAGAGTCACCACTACTCATCCCAGGGCTCATCCCCGCAGCTTCCCTTTGCTTCTTATCTGCACTACAAACCAGGGATGAGTGTGCTTATGCATCTGCTTACATCTTTAGGGAACACTGCTTTTCCCAAAGTATATTATGAAACATTTGTAATGAAAAATGCCAGATAGTAGGTAGGGGGAGAGAGACAGAGAGATAGGGACAGAGAAATAAAAGAATGAAGGAGAGAGGGAGGAAGGGGAAGGGAGGGCAGGGAAGGAGACAGACTGGGAGATGCTGAGTCTCATGGTTTCCTTCTTGAAATTTCACAAGGTCCATTCGCTTCTTGCAATAAAGGAACCATGCCTGCTCAACCCAGCACATCACATCTAAGTTGACCTGATCCTATAAGCCTTTCCCATTCCTACCCCTTACAATCTGTGAACACCTCCCAGAACTAGTATTTCCGAAAAGACTCTGGGAAACACTGTCTAATAGGGAAAAGGATGAGTTTAGATGAGTAATTCATTCTCCCAAAGTTTGGAAATCCTTCGGCTCCAGGAAGAGGTCACACCGGACACTGAAAAGAGTGAGGAGAAGGGAAGGGTTTGTTGGACTGGTGGCCACCTGCTCAGGGTGATGGCCCACTTACTTCAGGAGGTTCCCGAGGTTGAAGAGTGCGCGGCTGTGCTGCGGATGGAGCTGCAGGGCCCTCTGGTAGTAGCGCTTCGCCTCCGCCGCATCTTTCGTCAGTGTTCCCAGGTTGTTCAGGGCACTGGCATGGCGCGGGTACAACCTGAGAGATGGGGAGTGGTGAGCCACAGAACAGTGCATTCTTCCCTCCCTGGAATGGCTTGTGTCACATCTTAATGGTCAGCTGTTTCTACAGCACAAAGCAAAAGGCACATACTTGAGATGCAGAGGTACAAATAAGTAACTCCTAAATACAGCAAAAATAAGTAATAGTAAATCTGCCAGGATTAAGTAAATTTTGTCCTTCAGGGTCTCCAATTACTTTTTAACTTCTGTGATAAATTCTTCTTGGCCTCCGTGGTGGTGGGTTTCTAAGTGGAGGGCTCACAAAGGCAGCCTGCCATGGCTGAGACAGGATCTGAGACAAGATGTATAACACGTCCCCATCAAAATAAAGCACCCCAAAGTGGCTCTCCACCTTGGCTGGCTGGGCTGGCTGGCTGGCTGGCTTTCTTTCTTTCTTTCTTTCTTTCTTCCTTCCTCCCTCCCTCCTTCTCTCCCTTCCTCCCTTCTTTCCTTTTTTCTTTTTCTCCTTGATTTCTTTTTCACTTCCCTTCAATCTGTTAACACCTCCCAGAACTAGTATTTCCGAAAAGACTCTGGGAAACACTGTCTAATAGGGAAGAGGATGAGTTTAAATGAATAATTCATTCTCCCAAAGTTTGGAAATCCTTCGGTTCCAAGAAGAGGTCACACTGGACACTGAACCTAATTTGGTTCCACCTGGCTTAGTACAGTTTTTGGAATAAAAACCTTGAAAACTTAAGACACTCAAAAATAAAAAAATGAGTTGGGGAGATAGCTCAGTAGAATAAGTGCTTGCCTGGCAAGCACAAGATCCTGAGTTCAATCCCTGGTACCAGAAAAAAACAAAACAAAAAAAAAACCTAATGCATAATGAAATTCAAAGCAGTTCCTAATATTCTAAAGACAAGCATAAAGGAGCATGGGGGACAGTAAGTAACCAAATTTATGCTGATTAAGAGGGAAAGGAATCCATTTACTTCTTTACTTCAAAACTGAACAGAACCTAAACCAGCACAGCTACATAACTCATTGTTCCTGACACATTTGGGAGGACAAATTTAGCAGTCTAGCGGGTGGCTCCATCTCTGTCAACAGCAGACTGTCCCTGAGCAAGCCCGTGGAGTGAGCTGGCTCTGAACGCGGGCGAGCCAAGATAATACCCATGTAATAAAAATAGAAGCTGGACCTGTCACGCTTCTTGACAATCAAATGCCACGCTGGCCTCCCTGTTCTGACCTTGAAAGAAGGTCATTTTAATTTGGGGACAGACTGGTTCTTAAATTGAAAGGCCAAGGAAGACAGACTATGCTGCTTTTATATTTTTGCTTACCCCAGAGTTTCCTGTTTTGTGACCTCCGCCCCCTGCTCCTGCATGGAACAGAACCAAGGTCTCTGACAGGATCCTAGGAGACATTTTGGAAGGCTTCTCTGAGATGACCAGGGACAGAATCATTTCAGATTCATCCTCTCAAAGCTAGAAAGTCTTTTCTAGCCATGGTGGCTTTGGGGACTGTTAGGAGAAAGATATTTACAGGTTTTCAGGCAAAACCAAGCAGGTAGGGCTAGCCCATATGCTGTCTGTCCATTTGTGGGCAATTTCAGCATCGTCAAAGCAGCCCCTAGACACCTAGCACTGCAGTTGCTGGGACTGGTGCTCGGTGTCAACTATCAGAGACTAAATCAGAGAAGATGACAGCCATAGGAAAGGTGAGGGGGGCCAGTGTGCCGTCCATCACACCATGCTCACAGGAAGGTCCTGGGGGGCTCAGGATGATGCTTGCAGCCAGAGCAGAGAGGAGGTGTCTGCCGGAAATGCAATCCCTGCAAGTCTCAAGAGGCTCCAGCGCCAGCACCGATAGGAAGCGTGTCTGGGAGCCGTGCTCTCCTTGGTCTCAGAAGAGGTAGCTGCTTAAGATTTCTTCTTCCCCACAGTACTTAGGCTCTAGAGTCTACAAGGCCAAGCATGGGAGGACAGGCAGACCTGCACAGGAGGCCCCCAAGGTGGGAAACCACACGCTGAGGGAAGGTGCTGCCTTCTCTGCCAAGCAGCTGGGCAGGTCCTTGCCAGCTGCTGCTCAGCCCAGCTCCCCAGTCTCTGTGCTCACCCAGGACCCTTCATCTGAAGGAGCACTGCGGACATCAGGGCTCACTGCAGAAAGGACACCTTCCAGTCAGAAACAACCTGAGCCTGCACTGAACTCTCCATGCCTAGAGCAAGGTGGGAGAGGGGGCAGCGGACATAGGCAAAAAGCACTGAGAGAGAAGAGGCCTGAGTGTGCCTTGCACCCAGGGGGGCAGTCTGCAGCTGCAAAAGGCTCTGCAGGAGAGGGCTGCACATCTGAGAGGGGCACAGAGACCTGCTGACTCCTCTGTCAACCACAGCCTCTGCTCAGGAAGCTGTAGGTGTTGTTCGCTGGTAGGAAGTCTTGCTGGCGTGCTCTAATTAGTTTATCTCATCACAGACAACTGTTGCGTTATTTATGAAATCATGCTGAATTTCATTAAAAGGACTCTTAGCAACCAGGTCAGGAACAGTGTGTGCAAATTTTATGTAGATGTAAACATTTTCTGAAAGCCAGCTTTTCAACTATTCACTGCAGAACTGTGCAAGGACAAAATTTATTCTGAGATTTACTTTTTAAATAAACCCAGGTTTGGATTAGGTTGGGTTTAACACAGCTCCACAATGCCCAGGAGGGGAATTTTCTGTTGGAAAGATGAATATTTAACCATGTCGTGGTGCCACGCTGCTCCTGTCAGACTGAGCAAAGTTCCTCTTGCCCTCCTTCTGCAGATACAAGTTACAAAAGTTCTGCTGGGGATTCTGTCACTCCCCAAAACCTCAGGAGGACTCACTGAGCAGGACCAGAGTGGTTATATTTCAGGCCTGTTTTTTAAAAGACCACTGTGAATCATCTCTAGATTTTCCCTCTCAAAGTCTTACTCTTCATTTATATGAAAATTAAATTTATGGAATTATTTCACAGAAATTTATTTTATTTCAATGAGTTGAATTTTCAAAATTTATTTTGGAGAAACTGTGTACTGCTGTCAAATTAGTTCTAGGGATTGAGGAAGCTTATTTTTTCCATCTGGAGAAGATTTATACAGACCAGGTTCTGATGTCTACATTAGCTGTTATGAACTGAAGAGAATTTTTTTTTTCAAGTACAGGGTAATTTATACTTTTGTCTATTATGACATCTGTTTGAGTATTTCAGGGTTTGTAGGGTTTTTTTCTTCTTTTCCCCTTCCCTTCCCTT